CTAGTGTGTACAAGCTCACCAGCTGTCCAGGCCCTCGCTGCGGACGGCATTTGGGGATTTTCCTCCCAGAAAGATTCAGCCAGCTGTGGAGCTGGCCCTGGTCCTGTGCCGGGCGGTGGGGATCTGAGCAGGAGCTTGGGGGAGGGGCTGCCAGACGGCGCCCAAGGGGAGGGTGGGGTCAGGAGGACCCTGCAAGCTGCTGCTCAGCTGGCCCCGAGGGACAGGGACGGGGATGAAGCCGGCAGAGGGAGCCACTCGTGCAAAGCTGAGGTGGCCTGAGGCATCACGGGGTGTAGATTCCTATAGTGCCTGAGGGAGGCAGTGTTCAGGGGTGAAGCTGAGAGCTGTCCGCAGGGCTTTGAATGCCGGGCCAGGGAGCTAGTGTCCCTGGCGATGGGGCTTTTCAACTGTAGTCACACGAGAGGAGAGAGACAGCCTAGTGAGCCCTTGGACCCATCCCTCCACCTCACCACCTGCCAGCTCATCGTTGATCTTGTTTCCTCTCCAACCCCGCTCCCCCCAGGCAGCACGTCATTTCATCTGTAAATATTTCTGGATGTATCTCTGAACGATAAGGACTCGTTCAAAACCCGGAACCATAATACCTTAACATAACTAAAAATAACTTTATAGTAATGCCTTAATATCATCAAATACCCAGTAAATGTTCTGGTTTCCACTCTGGGTCACAAATGTTTGTATGTATATTTTACAGTTTGTTTGAATCAGATCCAGACAAAGGTCCATTACTGCAGTCCGTTGGTTCCCCTTCATCTTTTCATTTTTTTCCCTTGCAATCTGGTTGCTGAAGAAGCCAGTCATTTGCCCTGGGAGTTTCCAACCATCTGGATTTTGCAGGCTTCGTCTTCCTGGTGTTGATGAGTATTTGTCTGTGCCCTGAGTCTCCTGTGGGGTAGCACTCACCTCTGGAGGCTTCATAAGATGCGGCACAATTTTTTTTGCACAACTCCTTCATAGGCGAAGCTCTCTCAGGAGGTACATAATGTCGGGTTGTCTCTTTTTTGTGACATAGGGACCATCGGTGATCCTAAATCGATGTTAGAAGCCACGATCGCCTAAATCCGTTATTTGTCAGTGGTTGCAAAAGAATAGGAGTCTAGGACTTCCCTGGTGGCGCTGTGGTTAAGAATCCACCTGCCAACGCAGGGGACACGGGTTCAAGCCCTGGTCCGGGAAGATCCCACGTGCCACGGAGCAAATAAGCCCATGAGCCACAACTACTGAGCCTGCGCTCTAGAGCCCACGAGCCACAAGTACTGAGCCCTTGTGCTGCAACTACTGAAGCCCGTGCGCCTGGCGCCTGTGCCCCACAACAAGAGAAGCCACCGCGATAAGCCCGCCCACCACAGTGAAGAGTAGCCCCCCGCTTGCCGCAACTAGAGAAAGCCCGCACGCAGCAACGAAGACCCAACGCAGCCAAAAATAAATAAATAAATATATTTTTTTAAAAAAAGAATAGGAGTCTAATATTCTAATTTCTTCTCACTTCTTAGATGGAATTCATCACCAGATAAAAACCTCCCTTCATCTGCTGTTGGTTACTCTATGGCACAGTTTGTTTAGAAAAGTCAGGTTAAGTCTTTGATTTTTTTTTTTTCCTTTCGATTTCCAGTTTCAGAAAAATGAGTTGTTTCCCTGCCACCCTCCAATAGTGACTAATTATTTGTTTGTGTTAATATCATCATGGTCTCATGGATTTGAACATATTGGATGTGTTTTCGTTCATCACCGTCATTATCCTTTACTGCTGCTCAGATTGGCCCGTCTTTGGCTAGTGGGAGTCTCTTCACATTGGTCCTGAATCCTCTGGTTGCTTCCTTGATTTCTGGCATGACCGGATGTGGTGTGGAGAGTGTTTGGTTTGTGTGCCCGTGGGAGCACACCTCCCTGGACAGGCTGCTTCCTCTCGCTTGGTACCCTGGCTGGCAGCGGAGAGGGGCTGAGGGGGGGTGAGAAGGCTGGCCTGGGGCTTCCTTGAAGGGCTTCCTTGAAGGGCTGTGGTGTGGGAGGGAGATTGAGGCCCATGGAGATCGCTGACTCTGTATCACAGGCCCTGGAGCCTCATTAGCTGCCTTTTGAGTCACAGAGGGTTCAGAGCCAAGCCCTGGGTTTGACTAATGATGCTCCCGTGGCCCCAGTGGTACCTCCCAGCTCCTGCGAGGGCTCCCCATCTTCCCTCCCCGCTCCCCCATCCTTCCCCCGCGTCCCGTGCAGTCCAGAGCTTTCAGAGCAGGGAGGAGTGGAGGAGGGTGCAGTGGCCAGGCCGGTGTTCCCAGCTTCCGACTCTCCATTGCTCTGTGCCCCTGCATGTACCCCCTTTTTTTCCAAAATAAACTTATTTATTTATTTACTTTTGGCTGCGTCGGGTCTTGGTTGCTGCGCGCGGGATTTTCTCTAGTTGCTGCGAGCAGGGGCTACTCTTCGTTGCGGTGCACGGGCTTCTCATTGGCTGGCTTCTCTTGTTGCAGAGCACGGGCTCTAGGCGTGCGGCTTCAGTAGTTGTGGCACATGGCCTCAATAGTTGTGGCTCTTGGACTCTAGAGTGCAGGCTCAGTAGTTGTGACACACGGGCTTAGTTGCTCCATGGCATGGGGGATCTTCCTGGACCATGGCTCGAACCCGTGTCCCCTGCACTGGCAGGCGGATTCTTAACCACTGTGCCACCAGGGAGGTCCCTGTAACCCATTTTTGATACACTTTTCTGTCCTGAAATCAAGTGTCAGGGAACCTGCCAGGGGTCAGGGCAGAGGCCGGCCTGGGAGTTTTCACTGAGAAAGGACACACAGTTGACTGAAAAGGGACCAGCTAGTAATCAGCCCTTGCTGGGTTCTAGACTCTGTGTCAGGCTCCAAAGCCCTGAGTGTGAATCCTGCCTCCCTCACTGGTGCCTGTGGGTGGCCTTCTGCAGCGACTTCCTGCCCTACCCCTCAGAAGACAGCCCTGAGTGTTCAGGCGCTAAGGCACTTAGCTGGGCTCCATTAGTGGCTGTAAGGCCTCTCACTGTGCTTATCATTTTCATTGTCTTGGTTCCGAATGTCCCACTAGGGAGCATTTCTCTTTGCCAGCATCCCTGTTGATGGTTAGAGGCGCGTAAACAAAAGCATCCTTAATGAGGGTGGGGGTTGGGAATGGCTTTTGGCTGAAGTCTCTGTGCTCAGGCTGCTCCGGACCTTGGGATTTACAGCCTCCTGATACATCTCTGGCTCCTCAGCCGGATTGCCTGTGTGCCCACCCCCATACCTGGGAGTGATTTTCTTCTAGAAGATGGTGCTTCTGGTCTTGATGGGGTTTGGCTCCTCTGGGTCCTTGCCCGACAGGGCCAGCAGTTCCCCCTGACTCAGCAGGGTGAGGGTTTTTCCCCTGCCTCCCCACCTCCTGCTGTCCCAAATTGCCTCTGTTTGTCCTAGTCTGCTGGGGAGATGCCCACTGCCAGCTCTCAGGACACCTGCTCAGAAGCTACTGATTGTCCTCCAGGGTCAGGCCCACCACTCCCTTCTCTCCATGGCCCCGCATGTATCCTGTGTCAGCCTCAGCACTTGCCTGTGTGCCTGCCTCTCCCACCAGACTGGGAGCCTCCCGAGGGCAGGGACCATGTCTGAATCATCTTGGTCCTCAGTGCCAGTGTGGGGCTGGGTGCAGAGTGGTCCACACTGATAAAGAACTCATTATTTGGAGGCAGACAGACCTGCGTTTGAATCCTGGCTTCAAACCCAGGTCTGCCTGCCTCCAAAGAATGTGTATATTTTCTAGCCACGTGACCCTGGACAAGTTACTTGCCCTCTCTGAGCCTTGATGTTCTCATCTGTAAAGTAAGGATGGATATATTAGTAATTTCATGGGGTGGTTGTGTGAATTGAACCGAGATAACCCGTGGCAGTCACAGGCTTGGTATCTGGCATTTCCAAGATGCTCCATAAATAATCAATTTTATTAAGAGTCCCAGGGGATGCCTGTGAATTTATTCATTCAGTTAACACATGTTTATTGAGGAGCCTCTCTGAGCCAGGCCCTGGACTAGGTGCTGGGTGGATAGCAGTGACCAAGACTGACGTGTCTCTGCCCTAAGGGAGTTGACATTCCAGCGACAGTATCAGCACTGAACACAATGTCACACACTTGTATAATTATAACTGAGGAGAGTGTCTCAGAGGAAAAGTGCCAGGGGCCGTGAGATGGATGGACAGGGGTCCTGGCCTAGTCTGAGGAGTCAAGGAGGGCTTCCTGGAAGAGGAGGGTAGGCCCTAAAGGACAAGTGAGAGTCAGCTGCAGGAAGAGCAGGTGCGGAGTTCCTGACCAGAGAAAGAGCCTGGAGCAGGGCGCAGTAGGTGGAGGCTGGGGTGGGTGAGGGTAGAGACACGAGCCTGGGGACAGAGCATATTAAGGGTTTGGACTTTATTTTCTAGGGGACCTGATCAGAAAGATCACTCTGCTGCTGTGTGGGGCAAGAGCAGATGTGGTTGCTGATGCTGTTAGTGTCCCGGGGCGAGGAGATGGGGGACCGGGCCAGGGTGGTGCCGGGGGGCAGGAGAGGAGGAGATGCATTTTAGCAGAATGTGGGAGCTCAGATTGCATGGAGAGAGGGAAAGTGGGGAGGCCGGCATGGCTGCCAACTTCTGGCTCGGGCAGGACAGCGGGCATGGTGGCACCACTGACCAGGCAGGAACTTGGATGGATGTGCTATATATTTCTGAGGGGGAGGATGCAGATGGAGGCATGAGGAAGGGAAGGGGAAGCTCATAGAATCTTAGAATGGCAGAGCTGGGAGGAGCCTCAGGGGGCCTCCAACCCCTTCAGGGATGGGGAAACCGAGGCCTGGAGATGAGAAAGATTTGCCCAAGTCCCATACTGGTTCATGGCAGAGATGGGAATTGAACCCAGTATTCCTTTCCATTTGATTCCCTGGAGGCACGCAGCCCCACTTCCTCAGGAAGCCAGCTGTGACCCTCAGTGTGTCCCATCCTGTCCCCCTCCCTGTCCAGGTCATCCCAGACTGGAAGGAGCAGGAGTGGGACCCCGAAAAGCCCAACACCTACGTGGGCATCTTTCACTTCCATTTCTGGCGCTTCGGGGAGTGGGTGGACGTGGTCATCGATGACCGGCTGCCCACAGTCAACAACCAGCTCATCTACTGCCACTCCAGCTCCCGCAATGAGTTCTGGTGTGCCCTGGTGGAGAAGGCCTATGCCAAGTAGGTGCCAGGGTCGGGCGGCCAGGCTGGGGTGGAACTGCTCTTGGGCGCTGTGCGGGTGTTCCTCTAGCTGGGGCTCCAGGCACAGAGAGGTGAGGGGCAGGTGCAAACACACAGAGCGAACTCAGAGCCCGGCACCCAGAGCACAGCCAGGTGTGGTGGAGGCCTGGACTGCAGGGCCTCTGGGTACCTGGTGTCAGGTCCCCACAACCAGCCCACATAGGGAAGCCCGCTTCTACCTGGGAAGATGGAGGCCCAGGCAGGTGTCCTGCAGGTAGCCGGGGGCAGAGCCAGCAACCATATTCAGGTCGATGGTTCTTTTCCAAAGATCCAAGTTGCTGAGCCGTCCCTGGAGGCCTTGTTGGGCATGTGGTGTCTCCGAGCCTGGGCTGGTCGAGGAGGTTGGGACAAACCACTGCCTTTCCTGCTTGCTGGGCCTCCCCTTCACCCACCCACTGGTCTGTCTACCTGACTGTCCAGCCATTCTATCTTTGCTGGCCCTCCTCCTGCTCTGTGCCAGGCCCTGGGTTCCCAGCATGGGCATGAGCAAAGGTTTGCTGAGCTGTGGAGGGCTTTGGGGCAGAGTGACCTGCCCAGGCCCCTGCAGGACAGGTGCAGGCCTGGCGCAGGAGGGCCAGTGGGGTCAGAGACCAGCTCTGTGGGAGCCTCTCCTTGATTCTTCCTCCCAGGCCTGTGTGTCACTCTCCTTGGACAGTGTGAGGTGTGTGTGTGTGTGTGTGTGTGTGTGTGTGTAAAAGGAAAAACAAAAATTCCATCATCAAAAACAAACCCATGGAACCCTCTTGCACTGTTGGTGGGAATGTAAATTGATACAGCCACTGTAGAGAACAGTATGGAGGTTCCTTAAAAAACTAAAAACAGAATTACCATATGACCCAGCAATGCCACTACTGGGCATATACCCAGAGAAAACCATAATTCAAAAAGACACATGCACCCCAGTGTTCATTGCAGCACTGTTTACAATAGCCAGGTCATGGAAGCAGCCTAAGTGCCCATCGACAGACGAATGGATAAAGAAGGTGTGGTACATGTATACAATGGAATACTACTCAGCCATAAAAAGGAAGGAAATTGGGTCATTTGTAGAGACGTGGATGGATCTAGAGACTGTCATACAGAGTAAAGTAAGTCGGAAAGAGAAAAACAAATATTGTATATTAACGCATATATGTGGAACCTAGAAAAATGGTACAGATGAACTGGTTTGCAGGGCAGTGATAGAGACACAGACGTAGAGAACAAACATATGGACACCAAGGGGGGAGAGTGCCGGGGGCTGGGGTGGTGGTGGGATTTCTTGGGAGATTGGGATTGGCATGTATACACTAGTATGCATAAAATAGATAACTAATAAGACCCTGCTGTATAAAAAAATAAAATGAAATTGAAAAACAAACCCATGAAAACATGTCGGCAAATTCCATTTTTAGTCCTAAGAAAGCAAGACCCACCCCCTGGCGGTCAGTTGGTCACCATGGTCCTCGGTGCAGGCTCCTGTCCTCCCACTCTGGCAGACCCACTCAGTGACTCAGTGGGCTATAGCTCTTTGTTTTCTTTTAAGTAAAATTTTTATCATTAAAAAAAATTGTCCAAAATATAATATTTATCATTTTGACCATGTGCAAGTGTACGATTCAGTAGCATCAGTTACATTCACAATGCTTTGTACCCATCACCATTGTCTATATCCAGTGTAGACGATGATACTTTTCATCATCCCCAACATAAACTCTGTTACCCACTAAACCATAACTCCCTCTTTCTCCCTTCTCCCAACCCTGGGAACCTCCATTCTGCTTTTTGTCTCTATGAATTTTCCTATTCCAGGTAGCTCATGTAAGTGGACTATTTGTCGTTCTGTGTCTGCCTTATTTCAATTAGCACAGTGTTTTCAAGGTCCTTCCATGTTGTAGCATGTATCAAAATTCCGTTCCTGTTTATGGCTGAATGGTATTCCATTGTATGTGTGTGCCACATTTTGTTTATCCATTCATCTGTTGATGGACACTCAGGTAAACTGTTTCCACGTGCTTGCTATTATGAATAATGTGGCTATGAACATTGATGTGCAGGTATCTGTTTGAATGTCTCCTTTTAGTTCTTTGGAATATATACCTAGGAGTGAACTGGTGGGTCGTATGGTAGTTCTGTGTTTACATTTTTGAGAAACCACCAAACTGTTTTACACAGGGGCTGCACCAGTTATGCTTGTTTTTTTTTAATTATTTACTTTTAAAATTATAAAAAGAATGCATGTCTGTTATAGGAAGTCCAGAAAATATAGGAAACCATGCAGAGGATAGTAAAACTCTCCTATACTCCTGCATATTCTCCCAGGTTGCTGTTCTCCCCTTCCCTGTTTTGGGCCATCTGGTTTAATGGGGCAGCTCCTCTGTTCAGGACAGCAGGACATTGTCCCCTCAAGGCCCCACCCCCTCTCCATGTCTCCATTTCTTCCCTTTGCTCTCCCTGCACCCTCCCGCACCACTGGCAGCTCTTTTAACATCTTTGATGGCTCTTTTGTTTGTAGATTACCTTGCAAAACCTGTGCCGGTGTTTTGTGGGCCCATATTTTCAATGTATGGAAATGGTATTTTGTCATATATCCCATTCTGCTTCTCATGTTCACATTTGGCACTCTACCTTTAAGACCCCAACCTTTTTCCTAACATTTCAATAAGGAGCCACAGCTGTGTCCTAGCACCTGATCTGTTGCTCATAGTAGATGCTTAATCTTTTTGAAATGAATTATTGCATACATTTTAGACATAATTGGAGTCCGGCTGTATTGCCTTTTCAAATGTAACAAGCAGGCACTAGCATTTTTCCTGCAGTAGGAATTCCTTTACAGTGTATTCTTCAATGGCTGCTTGAGATGCAACATTAGCTTTTAAAACCAGTTCTCTGTTGTTAGACATTTAGGTGATTGCTAGTTTTACATTGTTATAAATAATGTTACTCGTCCAGAATTATGTCAAAAGACATATGAACTTTCAACACTTCTGAAAAGAATTGCTGGATTTCTGGACAGCTAATTTTTGAAAATGGGGCTGTGAGGGCCAAGGGGAATTTGAGTGACAAAATGGTGTGGTTCAGTGGGACAGACGTGGGCCTGGGAGCTGGAGACCTGGGTTGGCTCTGTTGTGTGGCCTGCTGTGTGACCTTAGCCGTTCTCTTGACCTCTCTGAGTCTCAGAAATCTCCCCTATCAGGTGAAGGATTTAGACTGGCTGGGGAACATGAGCTGGGAGTTCTTTCCACATTGCTTCCAGGCTGGCAGGCTGTTACCAGGCCCTGGATGGAGGCAACACAGCGGATGCGCTGGTGGACTTCACAGGTGGGGTTTCCGAGCCCATCGACCTGACCGAGGGTGACTTTGCCAGTGATGAGGCCAAGAGGAACCAGCTCTTTGAGCGCGTGTTGAAAGTGCACAGCCGGGGAGGCCTCATCAGTGCCTCCATCAAGGTGAGAACACAGAACCAAGCCCCAGAGGCGGCCCCTCCCCTTCACCGACCCTGATTGGGGTGGGAGGTGACTGGCTTTTCAGGGAGAGCCCCTGCCCAGGTTGGATCACAAATCTAGACCCTCAGCCTCATGGCGGGAGGGGAGCAGTTAGAGGGTGCAGCCCCTCCCCAGTGCTGCCCTAACCTTTACACTATGAAAGGCCTCAGGCCCCCTGCCCTCAGGCCCCCTGCCCTAACCTTTACACTGTGAAAGGCCTTGCCCACACTGTTCAACTAGCGTCCCCCTTTTCCAGCCCTTTCGTAACGGAGTGATAGGTCCTTTGGCCAAGGTTTAAGGCATCACAGTTGCGAGGCGATGGAAAGGGCGAGGGAGTCCTTACTGCCTGCTGGCACAGGCCTGGGCTCTTCAAGAGGATCGTCTTATTTCATTGACTGCTCATGTTTTGGGTGGGAAAGTTGGGACTCAGTGAAGGCAGAATTTGAACCCAGGTTTGGCTGACCCAGTGGTACGTTGATAAAAGACTGAAAAATTAAATAGCCCTGGTTTGCTGACTTCTGTGGTGTAAATACGCCCACCATGGTTGATTTCAGGCTAACGTTTTAACAGCCAGATTGCAAAACTGAGCCAGTGCTAGTCGACTCCAGCACAGCCCTGGGCCGATCCCACTGCAGGTCCCTTCCTTTATCCCCCACTGCTGTTCCCCGGCTTTGTAAGGGGCTGTGAATGCGGAGGTCAGTCCCTAACCTCAGAGGAATGAGGTCTCCCCTTTGTGCGGGGCTGCCATTCCCTCCCCGTCCTGTAGGGGGTGGTGTGGCCTCTGGCTCCAGGTGGAGCCTGCCCTGCCCTGCCTCTGAGCAACTGTGTCCCACAGGCAGTGACAGCGGCAGACATGGAGGCCCGGCTGGCGTGTGGCCTCGTGAAGGGCCACGCGTATGCCATCACTGATGTGCGCAAGGTGCGCCTGGGCCGTGGCCTGCTGGCCTTCTTCAAGTCAGAGAAGCTGGACATGATCCGCCTGCGCAACCCCTGGGGCGAGCGGGAGTGGAACGGGCCCTGGAGTGACACGTGAGGCCCGGGGCTTGGGCAAGGACAGGGGGCAGGCACAGGGCAGACCCCAGGTGGGTGGGCCGGGGTATGAGGGTTTGGGCAAGAACAGGGTGGACTTCCTGGAGGAGGTGGCAGCAGGGCTGGGCCTTAAAGGATTTGGGGGGAGGATGACATTAGGAGAAGACTTACTTTGGAGCAGGCATGTTGCGGGGGTGGATTCAGCATGGGCAGAGGTCTGGAGGTGGGGATGAGCTGATTCCTATGGGGGATGTAGAGACCAGTCTTGGTGCTTGAGTGGGGAGGAAAGCAGGGAGGGAGGCCACCAAGGGTGAGAATGGGGGTGACTGCCCTGTGCTTGGCTAATGGCCCTGGAGAGGCCAGGAGAGGAGCAGAGCCTAGGCCCCCAGTGAAGGAGCTCCCTTCACTGAGGGTCGGTCCCCGCCTTGCCCCAAGCCTGCAGCTTTGCTCCCAGACCTCCGAATCCCCGGCATGGTGGCAGCCCACGGTTGCCTGCGAGAGTGGGCAGACAGCACTTCCTGGAGAGGGGCCTGGGCATGGCCCTGGGTGCCCCCGACCACACCCACACTGATGGAGGCCTAGTGCTGAGCTGTCCCTCATGCCTCCTGACCCTTGCCAGAGTGGCCCTGAGGGCGTCCCTCTGATACTCCTCTCTCTTCCCTCCCCGGTGCTCACATCCCAGCTCAGAGGAGTGGCAGAAAGTAAGCAAGAGTGAGCGGGAGAAGTTGGGTGTGACTGTGCAGGATGACGGCGAGTTCTGGTGAGTGTGCTCTCTCCCTGGGCGGATGTCCAGGGCTGAGAGGGGAGCCTCCTGTGTGCCGGGCAGGAGGCGCTGGACAGGGAGGCGGGAGCCAGGGCTCTAAAAATGCCCCACCATCAACTTGCCGTGTGGCCTCGGTTAAGTCACTGCATCTTTTTGGGCCTGTTTCCTCCTCTGTAAAGTGAATTGGGCAGAATGGACCCTTTTGTCCCTGTAGCCTCCACTGCCCACGTCAGGGGACCCTGGGCTGCTCTGGTACCCAGGCTGAGCCCTCGGCAAGTAGGCCAGGGTACCAGCAGGTGGGGAATTGACCAGAGGGCAGAGGGCATGCTGGCAGCCTGATGCCGAGAGCAGGTAGGAAGAGGAGAGGCCCTTTGGAGGAGCTAAGACTCAGGGTGCAGAGGAGCCCATGGTGGGCGAGGACAGAGACCCAGCCCAGAGGCAAGAGAGCACACTTGGGTTTGGGATGGGAAGAGTGAGTTCAGGGGGGTGAGGAGGTGAGCTTGGAAGATGGCAACAGCCTTGCTTAAAGAGCATGATAGTGACTCCTGCATTCATTCACTCCTGCATTCATTCATTCTGCATTTAGCCCTGCTTGCCAGGCTCAGTGTCTTTCTTCAGCACGACACTTGATTTGGAGACTGAGCCACTTCCTGGAGGGATACAGGGTACCCTGTGTGTGGGAGATGTTGTGAGGGCCCCAGGCAGATCCAGAGGCAGATGGCAGTGATCCTGGCACCCCAGTGAGGTCCCCTCCTGCAGGTGTCAGGGGAGCCACTGCAGGAGGCCCCCCCAGGCCTTTTGGTCTGGGCTCCTGTGGATGAGATCCACTTTGCCCAGTCTGGCTCAGGGGCCAGTCGAATTAAAACATAACAGTAGAAAACCCTCATCAGGAAAGGGCTTCCTCCTAAGGCCTTTCTCAGATATGTTCACCCTTGATGCATATATGTGCATATTCTCATATATGTGCACACTTGAAGGTGGGTGGGCACTTCCCTTCCCCCCGCCCAGGCTCCTGGAGGTGTGGCGGCATCCTGGCCACTGCAGCTCGCCTACCAAGGGGTTTCCACCACTAGCTGTGGATGATAATGGATGGAAACTTTAGAGGGCTGTACACATTAGTTATTCATACTATTAATAATTGTAACGGCCAGCCTTTGGCAACTCCTGTCTGCTGGAAGTTGTATTACATGCTTGTACTGTTACTGCATTGCTTAATTCCTGCACTAACTCTGTGAGGTAGGCAGCTGTCGTTAGATTCATTCCCGTTTTACAAAGCAGGAGACTGAGGCCAAAAGAGATGTGAAGGGTCCGTGTGATGCCATGTCCACACTTGCTGTGTAGGCCGTGGTGCAGAGCATGTGGGGCGAGTGGGCAGGCTGGTGGGCGGGGTGGGGTGGGGAGACCGGCCGGCTCAGCCCCTTGCCACGCCCAGGATGACCTTTGAGGACATGTGCCGATATTTCACGGACATCATCAAGTGCCGCCTGATCAACACGTCTTACCTGAGCATTCACAAGACGTGGGAGGAGGCCCGGCTGTGCGGCGCCTGGACGCGGCACGAGGACCCGCTGCACAACCGCAGCGGGGGCTGCATCAACCACAAGGACACCTTCTTCCAGAACCCGCAGGTGGGCCTCCTTGGGGATCCCCACCGCCCCCACCCCTTGAGCAACTGTGGGGCCCTCGGCACCGTCCTGCCACGGACTCCTGCATGACCTTGGGTACATCCCTGTACCTCCGTGGGGTTCGGTGCACCGTTTGTACAGCGGGGTTGGATGGGCGTGTCTGGGAGGTCCTGTCACCCGCAACCTCACAATATGACCTGCAGGCTCTGAGGACTAATGAGTGCCCTGATAAGAGTTACGGGGACATTTTATTTAGAGGCTGAGCTGGAGTCTCAAACCCCTTGTCTCCACACATGGTGCTACTCCTTCTGGGGAAACTTGGCCAGGCTGGCTCCCCACGGGGACTCCTCCCCTGCGGCCTCCTCGGTCATGACCCTGGCACCCGCCTGGTCCTCACGCCCGGTGTGCCTTCATTGAGCACCAGCTGCATGCAGGCTCGGAGCTGAGCATCCATCGTTTCCCCGAGTCCTCCCACCCCGCATGCAGGGTGCACGTTGCCAGCCCATCTCACAGATGAGGGACTGAGGCTCGGAGAGGTGATGTGACTTGCCCAAGTTCACACAGCTGAGTTCTGCGCTGAGCTTCGGGAGCCACCGAGCCCGTTTTCGGTGTGGTCTCACCATGTGCCCCTCTTCCTCTGCTGCACCCGCAGTACATCTTTGATGTCAAAAAGCCAGAAGATGAAGTGCTGATCTGCATCCAACAACGGCCAAAACAGTCCACCCGCCGGGATGGCAAGGGTGAAAATCTGGCCATTGGCTTTGACATCTACAAGGTGAGGCCAGCTGGGACCCCTGCTCTGGGTAAGGAGATTTTGGGCTGCCTGGGCCTGGGGGAGAACACTCTAGAACACTTTGGTCTCCGACATCACCCCTGTCACCTTGGCCACATTGGCTGATGCCATGGTTGTGCTGTGACCCAGGTCCTGTTTCGATCCCCACAGAGGCCCAGCCTGCCTTGGATTGGTCCCACCGGAGCTCTCAGCCTGATTTCTTCTTGCCCAGACCCACAGGCTGTCTGGACGGGGAAGGGGATGATTGCTGGTGGTCGGGCCTGGGCTCTGGGGGCTCTGGGTCCCCCTGAGTTGGAGGCCTTGCTGGGCACTGGGAAGAAGCATCCTGGGCAGAGCCAGGAGGGCTTCCCACTGGCCGCTCCCCTGGCCTGGGCCCCAAGGCCTTCCGCATGTTGTGACGCCCCGTGTGTGATGACACGCAGCGTAGCGGGGCACCGTGGGCCTGCCAGACACCAAGAACCTAATGAAACCAAGTGCATGTGCTAGGCCCACGGCTTGAGTCGAGGCCCTGGCATTTGATGTGCTGGGTCGTATTATAACCGTTTGTTCACGTCAGCACGTTGGAACATTCACTGCGTGCTGACGTTGTGACTTTGACGTGACATGACCTTCGCTGATGTGACTATAGCTTATCATGGCACTTATTCCAGGAATTGTCCAGCATGTCCCGGCAGCTGGTGATGTCACTTCACGGACACATGCTGTGTCCTGGGCAGATAGTGATACTTGATTCTGTTGTGATGTCAGAAACCCCGCAGACATTGTCACCAGGGGGATTCCCATGGCCACCCCTCTCAGTAGCTTTATGAGATATAATTCACATACCATTTGACTCGCTCACTTAAAGTATATTTGTAGAGTTGTGCAGCCATCACCACAGTCAATTTTAGGCCACTTCCATCACCCCAAAAAGAAACCCCGCACCCTTTAGCCGCCACCACCCAGTTGCATCCACCTCCCTCCCCGCCAGCCCTAGGCAGACAGATGCTCATGTACTTCTGACTCTGTAGATATGCCTCTTCTGGCAACCAGGGGGAGATGTGGGGTGCGGAGCTCTGTGTGACCCGGTGTCTCCACCCCCGTCAGGTGGAGGAAAACCGCCAGTACCGCATGCACAGCCTGCAGCACAGGACCGCCAGCTCCATCTACATCAACTCCCGCAGTGTCTTCCTGCGCACGGAGCAGCCCGAGGGCCGCTACGTCATCATCCCCACCACCTTCGAGCCAGGACACACTGGCGAGTTCCTGCTCCGAATCTTCACTGATGTGCCCTCCAACTGCCGGTGCGTGGGGACTGGCTGGGGGCCTGGGTTGGCAGGGTCCAGGTCCACACCAGGCTGGCCCGCAGTCTTCAGCCCAGAGATCTTCAGTGTCGTCCTAAGCCATGGAGCCTGGGCCTCCAGCCTCCCTGGCCCGACATTAGCATCCATCCCCTTTCTTTCCCTCCCTCTCCTCACCTGTCCCGGCCTTTGTTGGCCACACGAAGGAGCAGCTGCTCATGTGTGCACAGCGCTTCACAGTTTACAAAGAAGCTTTCACTCGTCTCATTTGCTCTTCCTGAACCCCGGGGTGGGAGGCCTGACCCCTTCATTTTGCAGATCAGAACTGGGGATCGACGTTGGCTGGGGGTGGTTTCTAAGTCCGTGCCACCAGTGGCAGAGTCCGGCTAGATGGACCCTGAAACCATCCCCATCCCTGCTGCAGTGCAGACTTGTGCATCCCACACTGCCCTCCCACCTTGCTAGGCAGCCCAGAGTCGGTGCTCCCTGCCTACGTCCCAGACTGGGGGGGCAGCTTGTGGAATTAACGGACCTCGGTCCCGCCAGTCTGTGCTGTGTTGGGCAAGCCCCTTCCCCCTGCGATCCTGATGCTCCCTAATCCGTAAAATGGGCAGGGTGGCAGTCACTTATCTCCCAGGGCTTTGTGAGGATTAGAGATAATACCTGTAACATCCCAGCAGAGTGCTTGGCACACAGTAATGCTCGGTACATTGCTTTTCCCTTGGGGGAGGAGGGGGCACCCTTGGGTAGGGATGGGGCAGCGGGAAGCTTATGGGGGTCTGTTTGCCCGAGACAAGCATTGTCTGGACTAAACACTGCTCTTGACCCCCGCCCCACTCTTCTTGAATCCCCCGACCTTCCGTCTCCCCGGACCCTCTCCATCACCTCCCGCCTCGTCTCCTCTGCCCTGCATCAGGGAGCTACGCCTGGATGAGCCTCCCCGCTCCTGCTGGAGCTCCCTGTGTGGCTACCCCCAGCAGGTGACCCAGGTGCATGTCCTGGGGGCCGCCGGTCTCAAGGACTCCCCAACAGGTGAGCTTGCCTGGAGAAAACCCCCAGCCCTCCTCCCCTCCCAAGCCACAGACACAGCCTCCAGAGCTCTCCTGCTCTCACTCATTGAATGAGCAAACCCATCCTGACATCCACTTGGGCCCAGCCCTGGGATGAAGCTGGGCGTATAGAGAAGACCACGCTCTGCCTCCTGCCCTTGGGCGGCTTCCAGTGTGGCAGGGCAGTCAGACACAGGGACAGGCAGCTAGGAGGGAGAGCTCAGGGAAGGCTTCCTGGAGGGGGGCACCTTTCTCCAGGCTAAGGAGGTATTAAGGCATGAAGCCTGGTGAAGGAAGGTAGGGGAGAAAGGTGCTCCGGGCAGGGGGAACAGCTTGGGTAAAGGTCTGGAGACCAGAGATTACCAGTGTGCCCCCTCCTGTCTCTGGAAGTTAGGGAGCTGGCCAGGCTCTGGTCTCCCTTCTCCTGAATACACGAGCCCAGGCTTCTGCTTCCAGACATCTGTCTCATCCGGGGCCTGTCCCAGCCTCACCCTCACCCCGTTGCCCACTCCCTCTTTCTAGGGGCTAACTCGTATGTGATCATCAAGAGTGAGGGGGACAAAGTCCGCTCGGCCGTGCAGAAAGTCACCTCGACGCCTGAGTATGATGTGAAAGGCATCTTCTACCGCAAGAAGCCAAGCCAGCCCATCACTGTGCAGGTGAGCCCGCCTGTCTGGGGTCCCTCCTGGGCCCCCCGCCTCATGCTTCCGCACTCAGAGTGGATGGGCCCAGCGTGGCAGGGCCTTTGACAGGGACCCAGGAACACTGGGTTCTGGTTCCCACTCTGTCCCCGACACGGTGTGGCCTAGGGAATTCTCTTGCCTGCCCCTCCCGGTGCCCCAGAGCCCCCTCTGTGGGGTGGGATGATTTGGATTAGCTGTAGATTGTGGGACGCAGCAGGGTCGGACTCCTGGCCAGGGACGGTGGGCATCTCTGCCAGCCTTGCCCCAAAGCCTTGGGAGTTGTTCCTTAAATTCCCCTGGTGGCAGATGGTGGGGGTGACTATTGCCTGAGAGCAGGGGATCAGAAAGCCAGTGTCCTGGGCACGGGCTTCCTTCCCCTTCAGGCCAAGGGGGCCACAGTTCTGATCTCATTGGCAGGAAGCCCTCTGTCCCTGGGGTCCAGGCCAGCATCTCTCCCGATGAGAAACCATCTGTAAACAAACGCTCGGGTATCCTCCGGGAGCTACTGTAGGGTTTCCAAGTTTTTTAACACTGAGTCGTTCCGGATCAAATCACAGACCCATAGATGTTTGGGCTGGAAGGACCCTTAGGAGCCGTTGATCCAAAGCTCATGTTGATGATGGGGAAACCAGAGCAGGGGGTGTATCACTTGTCCAAGGTCACCCAAGGTCAGCAGCAGAGCTAATAATGACAGATTTAACTGTATACATGGAGGGGAGCTTTGACATATGGGAGGAAGCCTGAGGCTCTTGCAGGGGCATGGCCTTGCCCAAGGTCCATGGTGAGGCAGATGCAGGGCTCCTTTTCCTCAGCCCAGCTTGCATCACAGGAAGGGGAGTCAAGGCTCTGCCGCCGCTCTCAGCAGCCCTCACAGACCCATAGTCCTTGTCCTGGAGATGGCCCCCAACCATCCTCTGTCTCCTTCCAGATCTGGAACTACCGAGTCCTGAAGGATGAGTTCCTCGGCCAGGTGCACCTGAAGGCCAGCTCTGACGACCTCCAGGCCCTGCACACCCTCCACCTCCGAGACAGCAACAGCCAGCAGCCCAGCGACCTGCCGGGCACCGTTGCTGTGCGCATCCTCAGCAGTGCCTCCCTCACGGCCATCTGATACTTGCCCATCTACCTGCACCCACAGTTCTCACCACCATCTGCATGTCCCCAACCAGGCCAGGGACTAACCTGGGAGCCGGGACACTGGCGTCCTTTTCCCAGCTTTTCCACTGACTTGCTGTGTGACCTTGGGAGGTCTCTGCCCCTCTCAAGGACACTTGCCTCAGCGTCCCGAGGACCCCAAAGCATTCCCTTCTCATAGAGGAGTCGTCTTGCCTGAGATTTAAAATAGCCCTCCCTACCCCAACTGCCACCATGGCTAAGGGACTCTATCCGTTGAAAACCTTTCCCCAAGGCCCTGCTGTCTGCCAGCAGAGTGCCAAGAAGATGTCACTTGTTTACACACAAACTGCCACATCCCCAAGGCCCACTCTTGCCCCTTGTGTCCCAGGCCTGCCCCAGTGTCCAAGACTTGCTTTCTTTGTCACCTCCATCTGGTTTTCTAGCCACCTTGAAAAGACTCTTGGCTTTTGGGTTCCTGCCCAGGCTAGAATTTGGGAAATGTCCAGGTGACATCTGTCCATTCTTGAATCCCATCCACTCACCCGCCCATCATGTATTTATTCAAAGGAGATTTGCCAAACGAATAAACGATGCCCATGAGACCCCATGTGGAGCCGGGCCTCTCCTCGCAGCTCCGGGAGACCCGGCGTCCATCCTGGGCCTCGCCTCTGCTCTCAGGTCCTCTCAGATACAGACGCCCAGAGGAGCTGCAGCCACCTTCTCCTTCTAGGTTCTGATTGCACTCCCAGCCTCTGGTTTAGGGTCCCTGGAGAGGTGGTGGAGAGGGAGGGCGTCCTGCCTCCTCTGCCCTGACGCGGGAAGGAGTGTGTCTGATGTAGCGGGCCAGGCGGGGAGAGACCTGAGGGGAGGCACCCCCCTCTGCTGCAAGACCTGGGCTTTTCCCGGGAGCAGGGACTCTGGAGTGGTGGTCTCAGGCCCGCTGGCATCAGTTTGCGCATTGGGCTTGACAGGAGATGGTAAATCCATTGTCTGACCAGAGGCCCTTCCACCAACATTCCCCTCAAAGCGTAGCTGAGGAGCCATAACCCTCTTGCTGCCTGGACCAAAACTCTCCTTTTAGTCCTCAACGTTTTACATTCTTTCCGTTTTAACTCTCAATTTTAACCAGGGGTTTTTAAAGGAAAACTGAAAGCCAGAACCCTTTTGTCTTCTTAAACTCCAGTTCCTGTGATCCTCTGATTTTACTTTGATCTGCTTGGGGAGGGACGTGGCGAGGTCATACCTTCTCAGAGGAGGTCTGGAGGTGGATGAAGATGGGGTTTGTACTTGGATGTTTTACAAGCCAGCACCTACTGTGTTCTTGGAGAGTGTTGGCGCTGTGACCACCTTTGGATCCCCCTGTGCCCTTCTCAGGCTCCAGACCAGTGAAAAAGTCCAGCTGGTTCAAGATCAGGAATTCCTGTGGCCTTGCTGGGAATACCTTTGGGGAACCTGACTTTTCAGCTCCAGATCTGGCTCTTGGGTGCAGTGACCTGGCTGGATATGCTGGATTCTTGACTTTGCTGGATTCTTGACCCCTCGCTCTGGCTGGCTCTGCTCCTGTGTCCTGGCCCTGGGTCATGGGAGGGGCCAGGAACTGAATGACAAGGAGGACAAAAGGATTCCTTCTCGAAAAGCTGGGACTTCTCCTCAAGAACCCGAACCTAGGGTGAGGACTTTGCGTGTGACCAGGAGCAAGTTGCTTAAACCTCCTGTGCCTCGATTTCCCCCTCTGCAAAGTGGGGCCAGTGATTATCGTTTGTCAGCACTCTTACTAACAAGTGCTGTCTAAGGGCAAAACAATACCCTTTCTCTATGTAGCTTTGTATGCGTACACACTATACATAGTCATGTAATCATCGCTTCTCAGTGTCTGTTTGAAAGGAAGACTCCTGAGTTGGGTGGAGCGTCGAGGGCCGGATAAGCCAGCTTGGGGCCTCTGGGGCTGACACACGGGTCTTTGCTCAGCCATGTCCACCTGGGCTATGGGGGCAAACCAGGACCAGCTGGCAGACCTGCGTGGGCTTTAGCCTGGGGGCTGGGCATTGTGTCCCTCGACTCCCTTCTCAGACAGAACTGGTTTGGCATCCCTGCCCTTGCTCCCTGCCCCTCTTGGTTGGCTCCTGGCTGTGTGGGGATCCTGGTCCCCCGGAGGCCCTGGGGACTGGGCAGGTGAGGATGGAGCTCTTTCAGGCCGGGACTGGAGGGTGAGTGGGGAGAGCAGCTGCTCTCTTTGCCTGGTGCACCCTGCAGCCCACAGGGGCCTCAAGTCCCCATTTGCAGATGGGTGGGGCCCCTGCTGCACAGCACCCTGAGCTGGGCTGTGTTCCCCTCAGGGTCAGGGGAGTTGAGACCTGTTCCGTTCTCAGAATAAATGTTACCACAATTCCAGAAAGGCCTTCCTGTGTCTGTCTGTCCCTCGGGATATGGGACAATGAAGGGAATGTTTCCCAGGCCTGGGTGACTGTCTGGTTAGGGAGCCACGTGAAGGAGTTACAGCTGAGGCTGGACCCCGATGCCTGCCTGGTGGGACTGTGCTGGCATCATTGGGATCATTCAGCTGTCCCTTCACCTGGCCTTTTCCCAAGTCCCGTCCCAGGCACGGGGGCGGGGGAGGCAGCCACAGTGCCTGCTCCGGGGCAGTGTACAAACTGGTGGGGAAGACATGCAGAGAACCAGTGGTGAGGCAGTGTGGGAGCTACTGGGTGTTGCCTGAGCCTGCTGGGGGCAGGAAGGCCTCGCCCTGAGCCAGTTGCGGAATAGAGGGGGGCAGCCGCATGAAGGGCAGCCAAAAAGGAGATGGGCTTATGGGGGTACAGGTGGATGTAGGGGATCAGAGTGGAGGCTGTTGAGGGGAAGATGATGGCAGCTCAAGCCAGAAAGGCGGGGGTGGCGGGGAGGAGAAACCCGAGAGATTTCAGAGGTAGAGTGGACAGAACTTGATGGCTGGGTTGGGAGTGGGGAGTAAGGGGAAAATAAATGAACTAAGACCAAGATTTCCTCATAAGACTGTGAGAGAAGGATGTGCTGAATGACGTGCCCACCTTAGCGTAGTGCCTGGCCACTGGTGGGTGCTGAGTAGCTGTAGCTGTGCAGCATCGGGAGGGGACCACATACCCCCGTGCCACTCCGCACCCATCCTTCACAGCTCAGACCTGCGTTCTGCCTGGGGCACCATTTCCTCTTCGGACCTCAGCTTTCCCATCTGTGTGAGGCTGGCACCACTCGCCCACCCAGTCTGGCCGGCTCAGCAAGAGATGATTAGAGGGATGGTAGGTACCAAGTGCGGACGGCAGGTGGGAGTCCAACAGTGGGGACTGTTCAGGAGCAACTCTGGTCATGGGCACCCAGCCAAGCACACTCCAGCATCCAGGGGTCTTCAGGGGTCAGGATCGTCGGGTCAGAGGGAGCCCCAGCCTTAGCAGAGCCTGGGTCCCAGCGCTGTCGCTTCCCACCCGCTGCTCCAGGCAGAGGCTGGATGCTCAGCCTTGCTCTCCAGGGGGCGCCGTCGGGCAGCTGTGCCCGGGAGGTGGCGCAGTTGGGCCATTGGTCCCTCCCTGGGTCCCCCACCCCATCCTTTGGGTGGCAGCCAGGTGGCCCCTTCCCTGCAGGCATGACCCAGTTACAGAGACTCCAAAAGAGTACCTCCCTCCGCCCTGGCCAAACCTGTCCCGGAGAGGCCTGCTTGGCTGGGGCTGCTGCCAGGGTCGCTGCAGGCGAAGGGCCACGACGTGCAAGGGCCAGGTCTCAACAGGGAGTCCTCGGTGTCACTGTCTTCGCTGATGCTAAAAACGAACATTTTGTTCACTCTCTTCCTCGTTTACCCTCCTCCCCTACTGTAAAATCGCATTTTCCACCTCAGTTTGCACGAGTCCCTGGTACATGCAGCGTTGCTCCCAGTCAGCTGCTTTGAGAAGGTTTCCTGGATGATTAGAGACAGCAGGCATCCCGCGCCCCAGCCCCCAGAACAAGCTGTGGGGCAGGGGTGAAGTGATGAACTTCAGGGGGACGCCCTCGGGAAGTGGCCTGGGGCGAGGGCAGTGTCTGTGTGTGTGGCGGGCAGGGCGGCAGAAAGGGCCAGGAGGCAGGGCTTGCTACCTCCCGCCCTGCCTCGCCTGGTCCTTTGCTCTGAGTCTCAAACAGCCATTTTGCGGAGAAGGAAACAGTCTTGGCAGACAGCAGGCAGGGGCCAAGACTCAGCAAATCAGTGACCAAGTCGGGATCAGAACAAGGTTTCCTGCCCAGGTGCTGAGAGCAGGTGGTGGGCATTACTGCAAATGACAGGAGGCAGCTGAGGCTGGGATGAGTGTCTCCGGGCCTGCTCCCACGCTGGTCGGCAGCACAGCAGAGAAAGACCCCAGTGCCCTGGCCTCCCCGCTGGGCGGCCAGGGCTCCGCCAGGGCCCTGGGCAGCACAGCCCGCCTCCCATGCTGATGTCACGACACCCAGACCTCGGAGGGCCCTCCAACTCCGCCTCCCGGGGGAAGGCTCTGGAGTGGGGACGAGAGGGCAGCAGTGCCGGCCAGAGAGCTGCCCTGGGCAGGAAGGACAGGGAGAGACTGAGAGAGAGAGTCACACAGTGAAAGACCGCAAGACCCAGAGAGACCCCCAGAGCAGGTCACGGAGCAAGACAGAGGAAGAGGGGGCCTGTGTCTGCAGATTTTCCCACACCTGCCACCCCAGCTTCCCGGGCCCTCTGTGCAGGTGGCAGCTGCAGCCAGGCCGGTGGGCAGCAGGGACCCAGGTAAGGATGGGCTGCCCGCTGTCCTGAGCCCTGGGAGAAGGGTCTGCTGGACTTCGGGGGAGTCATGGGCTCAGGCCACCCTGGAGCCACTGTCCCCACAGCCAATTGCTCCCGGTCTGGGCCCCCTGCCATCTCTGGGACTGGGGGCAGACATGCTGGGGGTGGCAGACAGAGTCCTCTGTCCCTGACTCTTTGTCTCCTTAGGCCTCTCTCAGCCACTATCTCTTTCTTTATCTCTCTCCTTGGATAAG